TTTTTTTTTTTTTTTTTGCAGTTGCTGCAGGGGTTGCATATGCTGCTGCAGTAGTTGCATTGACATCATTTCCGCGGTTGCTGCAGGGGTTGCATATGCTGCTGCCGCTGCAGATGCACCACATCTGCAGCAGCACATCTGCAGATGCACCACAAATGCACCACATCTGCTGTAGTTGGTCCATTGACATCATTTCTGCAGTTGCTGGAGGGGTTGCATCTGTGCTGCTGCAGCAGATGCACCACATCTGACTATCGCTGCAGTTGCGACAACGGCTACAGTATCTATTACTACTGGACCCCGACCACAGCCCAAAGGTTGTGAGGGGAGTTAGAGTCGGTTGGGGGTTTCTAGGGGCGGTTAGAAAAGTTAGGAGCAGTTAGGGGCAGTTAGGGGAGGGTGGGTAACAGGTGCGGGCGGTTACAGGTAGGTGCATAAAATTGTGGGTAGGTGGGGACGGGTACGGCTGAACACGGGTAAGGAACATTTCGGTTGGGTATGGTACGGGTGGTTAAGACACGGTTTGGGTTCAGTTAGCCATGGTTGGTTTAAAAAAAAAAAAAAACAAGGGCGGGTACGGGCAGTTACAGTCTGCAGAGGTTCAGGTATGGGCGGGTACAAGTACCCGGTTTTTTTTTTCGGATCAGTTGGAGGTAGGTAAAGGTGCGGTAGGCCGGGTATACAGTGGTCATGGTTGGTTGGTTTTCGAAAAGTGTGTGGTTAGTTTAGTTACAGGTGTTCCTAAAAATCCTGGTTGCGAACTCTGCCGAGCATATTTGAAAACAGAAAGACAAAGCACACAGTTTGTGCCCATGGTTGTACTTGTCTTCTTTTATGATTTTGTCTCTTTGTTCCTCTCTCTATGCCATACTTGCCCAATAACCAGCTGCATTGTTTTTCATTCCCTGTCTGCTGCTGCTTTCCTGCTTGACTAGTGTTCGCTGCTTGCTTCAGCAATGCCCTGCTCCCTGGTCAAAATTGGTGTTCCCTTTTCATTCAGGTTATCAACTTATGATGCATTTGTGTATACTAAGCCTATATATATGCCTATATAAGACTATATAAGCCTATATAAGCCTATATAAGCATATATAAGCCTAGTATGATGCTAGTAAAACCCCAGTAAGACCCGAGTAAACCCCATTAAAAGGTCAATTCACCCAGGTTTTGGAACCTACCGCCTCACCGCAGTAGTGCATCCCAAAGGCGTCGCAGGTGAACAAAATGCCTGTGGCCCGGTCGAGAGTGAAGATGGTGTCCGGCCAATGAAGGTTCGGTGCCATGACAAACTCCAGTACATGTCCATTTCCCAGATCCAACGTATCGCCATTCTACAAGATCCACTTGCATAACAAAGACGCAAACAGGGCAACAAACAAGAGATAAGATTAGAGGGAAAAAAGAAGACACTGTCAGGTCACTCACCGACTGCTCACAGCATACTTGCACTAGGTCCTTTTCGAGGAAGCTCGGTATGTAATACATCCATGCCAGTCTGTCATTCCGGTCAGATATGTCCAGGAAAGTCCTAATATGAGTATATATAGCCCTACAGCCATGGTCTACCGACGTCACCGAGAACTACACAGGCTGATCAAGCATCGTCATCATGTTTCTTCGTTAGGAAAACAAGACGTTCCTAAAGTGATGGGGAGGTGTGTGTGCAAACTGAGAGATCGCATGGTGGGCCCGCCGGGGGCGGAGGGAGGGTGGGAAGGGGGGTGGGGAAAGAAAAGAACCCGCGTGTTTGCTAATGTTGCGAGCAATATACATGTTTTCTCAGGCTGCAAAAAATATAATACCCAGCTCAACTCGTGTTGCTGAATAATACACACACATTTTTCTTTTTGGTAATGGCTGCCCAGCTGTCTACAGATGCTGCCATTCTTCTCTTTTATTTCCTGAGGATTCTACCTGCGTACTGTTTATGTTTTCCAACTTCGTGCCCTTTTATTTCATTTTCTTTTTTTTTTGAATGGGGTTCGCCTCTAGGCTACCAGCCGGGCCGCCCGGGTCACCCTATTTTCCCGGACGGCCCGGCCGTGCAAGGACCAGCGAAGGTCCTCGCAAAAAAAAAAAAAAACCAAAATTTCAAAAAAAACTATGTTATGCAGAAAAATAAACTGAACAACTTTGGCCTCGGGGTCACATCGAAATTCTTTACCATATTTAAATTTTAAAATAATAGATAAAGTTAAAAAAAAAAATTATTCTTATATATTTTCTATATTTTTTCAGCCTGGCCGGGCAAGTGGCCCCGGGGACTCTCGTAGCCTAGGTTAGCCTCATACATGCGGCGCATTGCGATGCGCTGTACTGCGCACGTGCGCCGCACCGCGCATCCCGCACGACGCGCGCGCACTGCATGCGGCGCACCTCCAAAAATGGGGGTCGGAAAAAAAAAAAAAAAGTTGTGAGGGGCGGTAGTAGACCCGGCCCCCTGCTCGCGTAAAATAAGAAACGGGCAGCCAATTTTTTTTTGGAGGCCGCGCATTGGCCTGAAAGCTTTTAGAAACCTGTAGTCCGCGTAACACTGTGTGTATGGTAGGGTTCTTGCAGGCCAGATTCAGTCATGATGAGGGTCGCGATCTCTCAACGTTCTCTTCTTATTACTTCTGAAGTAGAAAACGACGGAACTGACA